GGTCGCCCCTCCTCGCCACCGACGGAGGCTGGGATCTAGTCCGGCAGGTCGTCCCATCCTCTTCGACCTCCCTCGGCCTCCGCACCCCAGTTATTCTCCAGCTCTCCGCAGGCAGCGCTGTCCCCTAGGCACCGCCTCCGGGCCGCCCCCTGCCCTCACCTGGGGGCCCTGCCCGCTCCCCGCGCAACCGGGAGTCTGACCGTCTCTTAACTTGGGTGTTGGAGCCCAGCTGGCCCCGGCCGCTCCCGGGAGGGCTTTCCCTCCGCCGTCGGGGGTGCCCAATTGCGGCCGAGCATCTTCGCCCCCTCTAGCCTCCGCGCCTCCTCCTTCAAATACGATTGGTCCTCTCGGGGGTACCTATTCTGCAGGGAACGCCCCTTCTCCTAGGAGACAGTTGCCTGGCCCCTCCCCGCATATCCCTCCAGTTCCCTGCGTGGGTTCCGGCCCCTTGGGGCCCACTTGGGGCCTAGCGGTGATCACCCACCCTCTACCCACGCCAGCCAGCACCGCAGGTTTTCCCCTGGTGGCCCCCAATTTCCCTCCCGGGTGGGGCCCGGGCGCGGTGGTCCTTTCCCTCGCAGTTCCGTCCCCACCAGTCCCTCCCGGGGAGGGAAGCTCCCGCCGCGCCCCCCCACCCGCCTACCCGCTGCCCCGCAGGTCGCTCAGCCTCTCCTGTTTCCCCCCACTTTGGCAGGACAGTTGCTGTGCGACTTGGACAGTAGAGGAACGCCTCCCAAGTTTTCATCCAACTGCCACCCCCAAAGCTTCCACCCTCCTCCCCTCAGAGAGGACGTTTGGTGCCTGGCCCCTGAGATTCTCATTGACACGCCCCTCTGGGTCCCCCTGAGCAGAGCCTGCTGACCCAATAGCCCACTCTTGCGGCTTTGATGCCTAGCCATGTCTGCCTCATCCTCAGGCGGCTCCCCCAGGTACTGCCGATGTGGGGGGCGCCTGTGCATAGGGCAGGGAAAGGTGGTCAGGGGTCCCCAGGCCAGGACCATTGGAGGCTTCTCTTTCAGCCTTCTTGCCCTGTGTACTGAACGTCCAGACCCAAACATTTAAAAATCCTCCTTCCCTTTTTAAAGGGAAGGAGGAAAGAAATATGCACACAGGATGCCAGTCTGCCTCCCTATTTTCCTTCCCTCCCAGGCACCAGTTTTCTGGGAGCAAACAGGAGTTTGCTTAAGTTGTCTTAAAGGAGTACTAGGTTCAGCACCTTTTGAAAGGAGTCCAGGTGTCATACTCAACAAGTAGGAGGTGGATGTGGCAGGTAGCAAGATGTGGACGGAATCCAGGTGGTTTGACAGGAGACCCACTGAGGTGGCTGTGCCTGCCATCTCAGCTACTTCCAGTTCTCAGGAGACTAAAGCAGGGAAATCACTAGAGCCCAGGAGTTCCAGCCTGCAGTGAGCCGCAATCATGCGGTAGCATTCCAGCCTGGGCAACAGAGCAAGGCTCTAAGAGATTATATATATATATAAAATATTGAAATCAAGGTGTGACATACAGACAACAAAAAGCATGCCAAAGTGCTCAATATTTTTACCTTGCATTTCGATGTTGTATGCTTTTCCCCAAGTATTTGTGGGGAGGGCAAGGTGATAATTGGGGACTGTCAAGAAGCAGTGGGACAGATCAGATGATTATTCCAAGTCCCTTTCGATCCTGGAGTTTTTAGATATACTGCTTCCAGATTTTGGAGCAGATTAAATTTTTTGCTATCTTTGCACATTTGGTGATGGGGCTATATAGTATGTATATATGCAGGGTGAATTATGCATGGCATTTAAAAAAATTCCTTGATTCTTAGAAGTTTAAAGGGTAGCAAGTAAAATGTTTTGGGAAATAGATACTTTTTCACTTTCTTAGGTGAATGTTTCAGCCTGATGTGTTGAATTTGAGTCACAGTGACTTCTTATACCTAAGCTTACTGCTTCACCTCTCTCTCTCTCTCTCTCTCTCTCTCTCTCTCTCTCTCTCTCTCTCTCTTCCTCCCCCTTTCTCTCTCTCTCTCTCTTTCTCTTCTTTTGAGATGGCATCTCGCTATGTTGGCCAGGCTGGTCTCAAACTCTTGGCCCCAAACAGTCCTCCCGCCTTGGCCTCCCGAAATGCTGGGATTACGGGTATGAGCCAACATGCCCGGCCATTCTGTCTTTTTTATGTTAATATTCACTTAACACTTCTCCAAGCCCACCTCTGTTCCAGGCATTGTCCTGGGCACTTCCACTCTTGGCCAAACTAGCACCTTGACTGTTCCTCATGTGTTATCTGCTTTTGGCCACCTGGCAGGGTGGCAACTAGACTTTTCAGCAAAGGTCACAATATGTGTGAGGCAATGGTAAGTTAAAAGCCCAGCCTGGCCGGGCTCGGTGCCTCAGTCTGTAATCCCGCACTTGGGGAGGCTGAGGTGAGTGAATTGCCTGAGCCCGCGGGTTTGAGACCCGCCTGGGCAACTTGGCAAGACCTCATCTCTACAATAAATAAAAAAAAATTAGCCAGGCGTGGTAGCGCACACCTGTAGTTCCAGCTACTAGGAAGGCTGAGGCAGAAGGATCACCGGAGCCCAGCAGGTCGAGGCTGCGGTGGCCAGGAGTGTGCCACTGCACTCCAGTCTGGGCAACAGAGTGAGACTCTAACTCAAAAAAATAAACAAACAAAAAAAAAACGGTGCAAGTGCCTGATACCCTGTCCCATCCTACTGCTGGGCACACCATGCGTGCGTGTCTAAGAGAGCCACAGAACTCCAGGCTGGTTCCCCTAGCTGTGAACTTAGCTGCCATATGCAGTGTGTAATATTGAGAGATCTAAGAAATCAGAGAGCCTTCTGCTTATAATCTGGTCCTTGTGCCTGGGTGCAGGTTTCCATCGTGTGGGAAGAACGGAGTCACGAGTCTCACGCAGAAAAAAGGTCTTGAGAACACCTTGTGGCGTACCCAGCGTAACTCTGACGGTAGGTGACGTGTGCACAGGGTGCCCTTTCTGGTCTGTGATCCTGCCAAAAGCACTTCTGCACACCTTTTCGAGGAGCTGCTTTCCCTACTGGGTACCGTCGTGTCCTAGGTGCTTTGCCAGGTGCTGTTGTTATACATATCCTGCTGTCTTATTATTCTCATTATTTTTGTCTGTGGTAAGGCTGCTGGATATGAGGAAACTGCCTTAACCTTATCCTTCCAGGCAAATCCTAAAATTGTTAGAACAGATTTCCACAAAACATAAGTAAATAAAATAAATAAAGGAGGGTGGGTGTGTTGGCTCATGCCTGTAATCCCAGCACTTTGGGAGGCTGAGGCAGGAGGATTACTTGAGCCCAGGAGTTGGAGACCAATCTGGGCAACATAGTGAGATCTCGTCTCCACAAAAAAACATTTAAAAATTAGCCAGACATGGTGATTCTCTCCTGTAGTCCCAGCTGCTCGGGAGGCTAAGGTGGGAGGCTTGTTTGAACCCAGGAGGTTGAGGCTGCAATGAGTCATGATTGTGCTACTGTGCTCCAGTGTGGGCGACAGAGTGAGACCCTGACTAAAAAATAAAGGAAAAATAAGCGAAAAATTTTTTAAAGAATGGGGGAAGGATCGGAGCTGGTGGTGGGCAAGGGCTATGTCGCTGGGGTTCTCCCTGCTCGTGCTTTCTGTAGAATCTCTACAAGCTTCTCATTCTTGGCATTTCCTCTAGCTTTGTGTTTCTATAGTCTTTCACCTGCCTGCTCTCTGGTTTGTCCTGCACCCTAACTGTTTTGTGTGTTTCCTGTGCTAATTCGCATGCCTAGTCGAGATTCCTGTGTAGAAGAATCTACCTGCTTTCCAGCTGTGCAACACTCCATCCAAGGAGGAGCTAAGCATTCCAGCAGGCTTGGAAGTGCAGTCAGCTCTAGGATCCTGGGCCTGGCTTTGGGCTCTTTTGCAGAGCTGGCTAGTCTTGCAGACCCCTTCTCAAGTGGTCCTGGGTCTCCCTGATGGCCTTCCAGTGGGATCTCTGCCAGAGCCTGCTGAATGACACTCCTACCTTGGTCCCTGCCTGCATGCCAGTAGCTGGTTGCTGTCCTGCTCGCTTGGTGGCTAGGCTTTCAGTGGCCCCTAGGGGCTGTGAGCTCTGTTTTCATGCCCAGTTTACTCATCCACAGATCAACCATTTTTCTGTTGTCCTCCCCTGCCTACCAGAAGTGAACCATGAAGGACCGCTCTTCAACTCCCCCCTTACATGTTCACGTGGATGAGAACACCCCTGTCCACGTCCACATAAAAAAACTCTCGAAACCATCAGCGACCAGCAGCCAGGTAGGAGCATGCCAGTGGGGCGATGTAGCAGCCATGGATCCACGTGATCCCTCTCAGTCCAGCCTCCTTGCGCTCTGACTTCAAAGACTTGGGAGACAAATGCATTGTCTTTTGGAGGCTGGCCGTCTGGTTAGAAGGTAGGCAGGCCCGTCCGTCATCTGGAAGCAGCAGCAGTCACTTTATCAGAAGAGGCGCCCCTGCAGAGTTGGAGTGGGTGTCACCAGAGTGACACCCTGACAAGCTGGGTGTGGAAATAACCCTGGGTTTCTTCCTTTTCACAGAAATCTCACAAGCGAGGAATGAAAGGGGACACCGTGAATGTGCGGCGGAGTGTCCGGGTCAAAACCAAGGTACCTTGGATGCCCCCTGGAAAATCATCCACCCGGCATGTGGGATGCAAGTGGGAGGTAGGCTCAGTTTTGTTCAGGCTTTTCTTCTCGGGCCGGTCAGATTCTAGCAGGCCTCAGCCTCCGTGTGACTCCGACTGAGCTGGAGCTACTGGAATGTCCTAACAGAACCTGTTTACTACACACCTTGCTAAACCTTGAAAGCATGTGAATCTTGGCCAGGCACAGTGGCTCACACCTGTAATCTCAGCAGTTTGGGAGGCCAAGACAGGAGGATCACTTGAGCCTATCCTGGGCAACATAGTGGGACCTTGCCTCTACAAAAAATAAAAAAAATTAGCCAGGCATGGTGGTGTGCACCTGTAGTCCCAGCTACTCAGGAGGCTGAGGTGGAAGGGTACCCTGAGCTCAGGAGGTCAAGGCCACGGTAAGCTGTGATCATACCACTGCACTCCGAAAAAAACAAAAGGTTGAGGTAATGAGGTACTGAGATGCACAACATGTAGAGTTTGGCCCTATTTAGGCAGGAAAGGAATGTCTGTGTATCCATGTGTGTATGTATGTATTTGTGTGTGTATAGCTTTTTATGAGAGGGTATGCATGTGGTAGGCTTTAATGTATTTTTTTCATGGCTTGTTTGAATTTCTTTATAACAAATGTAATATATTTTATAGAAAAAAATGCTTTGTGGGCTGGGCTTGGTGGCTCAGTCTGTAATCCCAACACTTTGGGAGGCCAAGGTGAGTAGATTGCCTGAGCCCGCGGGTTCGAGACCCGCCCGGGCAACTTGGTGAGACCTGATCTCTACAATAAATCAAAAATTAGCCGGACATGGTAGTGCACGCCTGTAGTTCTGGTTACTTGGAAGGCTGAGGCGGAAGGATCTCCGAGCCCAGCAGGTCGAGGCTGCGGTGGCCTGGAATGTGCCACTGCCCTCCAGCCTGGGTGACAGAGTGAGACTTTGACTCAAAAAAAAAAATGCTTTGTGGGCCAGGCTCAGTGGCTCAGCCTGTAATTCCAGCACTTTGGGAGGCCGAGTGGATTGCCTGGACCCGCAGGTTCGAGACCCCCCCGGGCAACTTGGCGAGACCTCATCTCTACAATAAATCAAAAACCACCCGGGTGTGGTAGCGCATGCCTGTAGTTCCAGCTACTTGGAAGGCTGAGGCGGAAGGATCACCTGAGCCCAGCAGGTCAACACTGGGGTAGCCATGGATGTGCTACTATACTCCAGCCTGGATGACGGAGTGAGACTCTGACTCAACAAAAAAAAAGTATATGTTGTGGAGTGTGTTGGCTCATGCCTGTAATCCTAGCACTTTGGGAGGCCGAGGCGAAAGGATTCTCTGAGGTTCAAGACCAGTCTGGGCAACATGGCAAGACCTTGTCTCTACAGTAAATCAAAAAATTAGTGGGGCATGGTGGCATGTGCGTATAGTTCCAGCTAGTTGGAAGGCTGAGGCAGAAGGATCACCTGAACCCAGCAGGTCAAGGCTGCATTGACCACGAGTATGCCACTGCACTCCAGCCTGGGTGACAGAGTGAGACTTCAACCCAAGAAGTAAAATAAATAAAATAAATAAATAAAAAAGTATACATAAAAACATGCTGCTAAGAAAACTGACTTACTGTTGACGTGGGTTGCTAGGAGTGATAATCCCTCTGGAAAGCTCAATGCCTACTTCTAGTCCTATGGCCACAGAATCCTAGACATGGAGGGACTCAGAGAGGTGACTTGCCTAAGTTCTCTCAGCAGCTCTAACAGTAGCTGTCTTTCCTGCTTTCACTCTTGGGCCTGCCTTTTTCCACTTTCCAGTGGCTTCCTGTAAGGCCCTAACCCAACCTTGTTAATTATGGACCAAAGGAAAAAGGCCCCAGGAGGTGGAAGTTTGGGGTGGATCTAGAAATGAAGACCAGAAGCTGCTGTGTACATCTGGGAATCTTGTCTGATTTCTTTTTTTTTTTTGAGTCGGAGTCTCACTCTGTCACCCAGACTGGAGTGCAGTGGCCGCTTCCGGCTACCGCAGCCTCGAGCCATTGGGCTCCTGCGATCCTTCCGCCTCAGGCTTCCAAGTAGCCAGAATTACAGGCGCGTGCTACCACACCCGACTGACTTTTTGATTTATTGTAGAGATGAGGTCTCGCTGCCCAGGCG